CAAAACGTAAATTAAAAACATGTGTTTCTATTTTACTCGATGAACTTCTTAAATAAATACGAAAAAAAACCACAGACAAAAACAACAACCACATGAAGACATGAAAGCCATGAAAGATTATCAAAATTAAACACACACAATATCACGAAGAATATAAAACATAGGCGGGACATTTATTATATTCAACGACTTGTAAAATAATAAAGCCTAAACCATTAATTATAGTAACAGTTAACCACACTCACGATTTGCCCAAATAATCTAACTTGTTAATTACTTGATTTCGAAAACAATTCTTATCAAACCTTTCTATGTGTCTCTCAAAGTTTGACACACAAAAGAACGACAAGAGTAAAACAAACGCACCCAACAGCGGTATGCCATGCGGAAACGTCAGCTCAACTCATATCATTGTGTGGAAATTCTACTACCAGTCCTTCATCACCTTAGACGAAATAGCGTGAATACATCTCATATAACTTTTGCTTATTTAATAGACTCAAGGCTAGGGAGGGAGTTGAGCCGCCTGCAAAAAGGAGGCGACTCAACTAGTCTTTCATTATTTTTCGTATTTGAGTAGCGCTTCGACACTGCCAGTAAATCAGTAATATGAGATGTATTCACCCTATTTCGTTTAAGGTGATAAAGGACTGGTAGTGGAATTCTCCCGCAATGATATGAGTAGAATTGACGTTTCCATTGAATTTCACCATGCCTTGCTTTCCCAAAACCACTTTAAACGAAATAGGGTGAATACATCTCATATTAGTCTTATCTTGTTTTGGTTCTAATCACGGTTGCTTCTCTGTAGTTTTAGTTCACTCTTTCTCTCTCGCATGAAGACAAAAACACTCATCAACATAACCAGACATGTGTCTGACCTTGCGCAATCGGAGTGATGTTTATGGCATGCATATAGAAAGTGGGTGATGTTGGGCCTCAAACCTTGAAGGCCAAGAATAGTTGTCACTTTTGCTGTCCTAATTACTTTGAGCCTTCACTGCCTTTTTGTACACATGCCAACACACATAGGCAAATACACATACAGAGACAGACACACTCACATATTCTGAGGTTGACGTCATCAGTGAGTTTTGCCATTCACAGCACCAAGCTACGAACTCATCAAAGAGACAATAC